TTCTCGTCTTCTTCTTTTTCTTTTTGGCCTTTCCCCCACTCATTTAGTGCCCTGCTTTCTCGTACACCAGCAATAAGTCTTGTGGTTCCAGCATCTTATAATCCAAATTTCACACCTCCAGTAATTTTCTTCTAATATTTAGAGCATTGATTTTAATTAGAGAGAGAAACACAAAGTACGCAAGTCTTGTTTCAATAATAACTCTTATATAATACTACTACCATTCCTAATTATAAAAACTTGTTTATAAATAAAGTTTAATAATTAGAACTAAAAGTAGTATTATCCCTAGTTCTTAATATAAGAACTAATTGATTGATTTAAATAGATTAAGAAAATCAGTTAAGTTAGTTATCTGTAATATATATGTATTGTTTTTCCTAAAATATCCTTACTAATCAAATATTAGTTATACGTATTATTATTAAAATAGCTACTTTAAAAAAATAGATAAAATAGATTGAAATTTTATATTTAAAAGTAAAATAAAAATTAAACGAGGGAGGGCAGAGCTTTTGGTTTTTTCATGTTGTCAAAAAGTTGAACAATGAAAATAGATGGCGAGTGCCTGATCGAATTGATCGGGTCATATAGAAACAATGTTCAAGTCTACCGGTCTGTTAGGATGCCTCAGCTGCATACATTACTGCACTTCCACTTAACGCCTATCGTTAATGATAAACGGCTCGTCTCGCTCGTAACATTTATCTCTGTCTTCAGTAAAAATCAATATCGGGGATCTTCGGTCCAACTTGTAAAAGTTGAGGTTAGGAAGTTAAAACTTTTTTTGTTTTGGCCAACTCAACTTTTTATCATGGCTAAAGGTGTTATCCCTTTAAGTTCTGAAGATAGGGTGCACGTGTAGAGAGGAGGAGGGGGGGTTAAAAATAATCAGAGAGACCGAATCGAGAAATGTGATCAGTTCACAAAATTTGACTTGAGAGACGTAATTAGTAGAAGTTTGAGGTGGAATGTTAAAAGTCAAAGTGGATAAGACGGGAAAGGTAATAATGAATAATAATGATGACGACGAAGAGGGAAAAAAATCTTACGGCACCACCAAGTCTTTCGCAAAAGGGAACAGGCATAGACATAATGCCAAGGAACGCTTTGTAAAGGGAAGGAAATTAAAGTTGGCGCATTCTCGAAGAAGATAGAATTGACGTCATTATGTTTCTTCCAAGTTACAATGCTAGGAGTACTATATAATTCTTTCACCATGCTAGGAGAGCGCAGTGTTTAAATTTTATAATTACGTAATAAACAATTCAGCCTAGAAGACTATGCATTATTTTTATTTTGCAATTTTTTTGTTATAAAAACAGTTAAAAAAATTGAATCCTGAGGACTTATTTAGGCCAGCTTTGAGTTCAAAGGGCGTTTGTAAAAGCATTAACATTACCACTTTATGAGTTTGTGTAGAGTTGGGAATATAAGCAGGTTTGATGGACTATCCGGATAAGTTCGTATTTTTTTGGAAAAATCATAATGAGATTTTAAAAAATAATTATTAAAAAGTTTCAATAACAATCTAAGCAACATAAGTTTTATGATAAAAAGTAAAAAAATTTAGGATTTATTTTGTTATTATTTTTTTGGGACTTTATTGTAATTTTTTTTTCCCATTAGGATGACCTTCAAAGATTGAGGTTTTGTCAGTATAAATTTTGGGCTTTATTATGAGTCCGATCAACAAGAGCCGGGGGGGGGGGGGGGGAAAAAAAATCAACAAGAGCTGAGCTTCAAAAGACATGCTTTCAATAGGAATTATTGGTATTTGATATTCCTCCGATATTTAATATAAGACTCTTATACATACTAGTATAAGGGTCTTTTATTTAAGACCGGGGGAATATAACGGAAGCAACGAACCAAAATTCTTAAACGGGAGAGGCGAGATGCCAAAGGAGAGGAAAGTAGAAGGAGTAAGTAAATCCACGAAAGAAATGTCAAAGGCATAATGGCATAAATATTAATGTGCTAGATGCGATAAGCGCGCACACACATATATAAAATATTTGGATGATGATGATGATGATGCAACGGCTTTGATGTGGGATTTTGCAGGTCTCGTCATTAGTTTTTATGCGATGTGTTCCCCATATATTCCAACAAGCTTCTGTGGAGAAAGCGCTGACCTTTAACATTAACATATCCCTTTAATCTGTATGGGAGCCAAAGAGAATATTAGAGATGAATATTATTAGGTTCAGTCAACTCATAAGAACGGCCGCGCATATAAAACCGAATAGTTTTATCCTCAGCATATGATATCAACTTTAGTATTTTCAAAATTGAACATATATTGATCCACAGCATACGCATTTGCGCTTCTGAAATTCCTCCTCTCGTTATATTATTGCTGTTGCCAAAATATTTTACCAACACCGTATGATTTTTCATTCATTCAAATCTCATTATACATGTACGAGTATATATATACGCTTCACGTTACCAAAATATATAAAATATTATTATATTCTTGAGTTATTTATTCGTGCTTTGCTTTATGCTTAATTTATGGGTTAAGAATATTACCCTGAATTATAGCTTAAGAATATTCTTTTCATGACACTGAGAACCAAAAAAGGAAGGCAAATTAGAAAAGAGAGTTGAAAATTTCAGGAGCAACAAAAATAAATGTGATTTCATTATCCTTCGTTCACCAAGTTGCATTCAATAATTCCACACCCACTAAAGACGACTTTGGAGTTGAGATTGACATAAGCACGAGTGCAACAAACCACTAGAATTGCATTCAGTCCTGCCAGAAAATTGCAGCCTTCAACATTTTTTTAAAAGGATCCATAGAACAGTATAAACTTCACTATGTAAATCAAAATAATTCTCTTACTTTTACGATCTAAAATCACCAAATAAATTTCAGAAGAGACACAGCATAATTAAGAAGTCCGAGAGAAGAAATTTGGAGAAATGGACAGATATAAATTAAAGGCAAAGGGTTAGATGCTGTGTAAATTGACGGAGGACTTTATTAAGTCCTGCGCTAACGAAAGCTATTATTCGGAAATAGATAGATTACAAGAATAAATAAATAAATGAAAAAACTTTGTTATGGTTCTTTTAACCATCACATTGTCATGCTTAAGTCTTCTTAATTGTTAATTACTACCTCCGGCCCTAACTATTAGATCTTATTTGTAGATTATAAACAAAGTCATATAATTATGAAAAGAGGTAGTATAGTAAGTTAGTTATTCAAAAATCATAATAGGTAACAAATTTCTCACACACATATCTCAAGAAGTTTGTGAGGCACCCCTCCAATGTTTGAGGTCCAAAAAAAGAAGATCCCTCAAATATTAAGGTTATTGGTTCGAAACTTCATAAATGGAAGAGGAAAAGACCGCTAAGAAAGCTGCTCGACAATATTTAAATTTAAACTGATGATACCAAATATCAAATATTGACAAAGTTATCAACATGCAATGATTGGGCGGGAGGGGACACAATACTCCTTTACGTTTTTTTTTGTTTATTATCATTTTCAAAAATTACTATTAATATCTTTGTCTTTTATATTATTTTTAACAAAATATAGAATTATTTTTATCTATTATTTTATTTTATTTTTAAATCTCGAGAATCAAATGGATATTAGAAGATCTAATGAACAAAATATTAGTTTACGAAAAAGAAAAATAGATAAGCCTCCACGGGCATTCTTTGGGGCGTTCTCTCTTTTTGATACAGGTAAAACTTAAATCAGGTCCTAGAAAAAGACATCAAATACGAGGGGCATGAGCGCCTAGCCATGCCACATAATGAAGAAGAAAAGGGGGAAGGGGGGGGGGGGGATAAAGGCCCCACTAAGTATGATTTTTTTGGGTGACAAAAATGGCCAATGAACAATGAGCTTGAATATTCAATCATCAGAATTCAATCCTTCCGAAGGAAATAAATGAAATTTGCGTAGCTTAAGTTTTGACTAGTCCTCACTCATTTGATACACAATTTTTGAATCTGCGGGGCGGGAGGACACTGACGTTAGGGCTCAAGCAACAAGCTTAATCGTTTCCCCTTAACCACCAAAATAAAAAAAAAAAAAAAAAGCTGATCCTTTCACAAATTCAGCACTATATTCGTGGATTCTTTTTTTTTTTTTTTTTTTGTTATGAATTAAAGGGATACATGTTAGCAGCTTAAGCTTATAAACAGGATCGAACCACAGCCTCACTTCCCACCAATAGAACTTTCATGCCAATACGGCCACTGGCTAGTATTCCTTATTTGAAGGCATAACTTCTCTCATATGAGAATTGCCCTTTTACTGCCGTTGGCTGGGATTCCTTATTTGAAGGCATAACTTCTCTCATATGAGAATTGCCCTTTTAATTTTGGATCACCTGGAAGTCCCTGATGACAGAAGCTTTGCACCCTTCCTATCAAAATTTGCAAGAGAAAGGCCACACATGGTAGCTCTATATTTCATGGAACCTGCTCAGCCTAGAATGCAACAGATGATAGATCCAGCAACAGCGTCATCACATGGCATTCATGTGCTCTATCTTCCAGACAATTATAGCGCCAAGGTCTATGCCTGTGGTTCTTGAAGAAAGTTACCAAAAAACCTCACCAGGCCACCAGTGACGAGTAAACAACGTTGTAGTGCTTGAGAGAGAGAGCTGAAATCAGCATCTTAGTCACACCACAGAATGAAAACATGGATTATTTCTTCATTGAGGTCGCTAAAAGATAAAAGGACCACAAGACAACCGAAGTAGAACGAATAAAAATACATGAACAGCATACCCACACTACAACTTGCATTTATTTCCATTAAAAGGAAATAAGATAGGTAGAGAATATAGCTTTGCCCAGAATCAAAAAGTAGCATTGTTTATCAAAGCAGTGGCACCCATCCTACTGCATGCGCAACTTCAATTACAGAGCACGAAATTTTACTGGTTAAAATTAGTTACAGTTTTGCAGCCAAAACACGAGACCATAAGAGAGCAGCACAAAAACCAACTTGATGATTACCGAAAGTTATTTGCTCATCTTAGATCATAATGTTCATGCTCTTCAACAAATACAAAGAACCTACTTCAGCTTCATGACAACTTTCACAAACTTCGTGAGAAAAATCCGAAGGCCAAATGAGCTTAAGGTATTAAGTAAAATGTAACTCCCTAAAATGGTTATTACCAGAGAATGGGGTCGAAGGAAAACCTTGTGTTTTGCTCGAAGGTGGTAGCATCATATTATAATTCCTCAGAGCATTACACTATGAACGGGTTGCACCACAAGATGACTGGACAGGTACATAAGGTTCTAGGTGTTACAAAATTAGGGAAAAAGAAGGAAGAAACAATCCCATTTTGCCCATAAATCTCCTTGAACAAAGAGTGGCAGCATACTCCATAAACAAACAGGCATATCAGTTTCATTAAGATTTCTTTACAGAGATTTACAGGACACCATCAAGTGAAATATCCAAGGCCCAAGATTCCTTATCTGTTCAAGACATGGAAAAGTTCAACCAAAACCCTTCCCCAAAAAAATGCTCGACGGTTATTAAACAACTCTAAAGAAGGGATTAGCTTTAAAAGAGAATGACAATTTTAACTGGAACTAAACTAGTACAAAAATAAGGGATAAGCATGCTATTATCGGTCTGAATGTCATGTCACGTGACAAATATTAATCAGTAAAGCCTTAAGTATAACATAATGCATACAGCGATCAACTTAAGAAAATCTCATAAAAAAAATTTACTAAGAGCTCGAGAAAAAAAGGAAATTGATTCATCAAAATCACCCCCCAATTAACTAAGAAAATTTCCAGTAGTGTTGTTATTAAACTAAGCAGGAGTTGTTTAGTCATTAAATTATCACTCACAGCATATAATTACCTCATAAAGGCTATATTACAGTAAAGAGGCATGATACCTTGCAAGTAGCATTCTCCTACAAGCAATTTGAGCCATTTTGCCTGGCAAATTTTGCATCCCTTGAACAGAGAACAAACAATTTACATCTTAAACCCAGGGAAATTTCAAAGAAATCACCTATAAACTACTCATGCAGAGCCATAATCAATTAATCATGAGACAAAGGAAAAATAACTTCATCAAATGCCGAATATGTTCAAATCCTATAGGCTATTTTCTCCTTATCCTTCAATTGAAAAAATAAGTTGCAAGTTTATGATCCCCGCCCAACCATCGAAATCAGTATGCATCCATAATATTTAATATATAAATAGAAACTGCTTGAGATCATACATGATCGCATAGATCCACCATGCCATTTTGCATATGGTAAAGAGATAGGAGAAGTTTAAAAATACCAGGGCTAACAATTCTTGAAATCTGATCTGGCCAGTGTCTTACTGATGATGTACCAAGAACGGAAAGAAAGATCATGCACCTCCCCCCGCACAGGAAAGAATAGCATTTATAATATGATACGCCATCATGAGAATTTAATATCATGTGAATGGCTATCCACTCATAATTTCAAGTGCAACAATTGCTCATAAAATTTACAGGTCATGGACCATGAGAAAAGATGGGCAGGCGGATACAAAAAAGTTACCACCATTTAGTATAAAACGAGAATTTGGTCATACCTTTGATGTTGACCCTAAACACTGGTGCACAAGTACAGGATATGTAGAGTAAAAAAAACTGAGAAAAAAGAAACCACGTTTGAATTTTGAACACAACATTTCTCATGACATGTGATGAATGTTTTAATTTAGAAAACTTCGATGTCAATTCACAAAAATAAACTCCCAGTACCTGAAGTTCACTCTCATGTTTGTCAATAAGTATATTCTGTATATGCTATTGATTTTTCTTTTGAAGAAGTCATTGCTGGTCCACTGCAGACCCATCAGCCTGTTAAATCTTGTTATTATTCTTTCTTTAGTGGTCCATTCAGATAGACTTTAAGTGGTTATGAATTTATGATCTACGGTGTTTTAATCTGCGGAACAAATTTATTGTGCCAAAACATGGCATCCTCCAATTCTTCAATACTTTACTTCCCAAAACGTAACTTCTATTACGAACGCATTATCAGTGCAAAAGTAGCAATATTAAAATCATGCATGCAGTGTTGCTAGGTTTTAAGGGAAGTTTTATCGTATTACCATAAGATCAATAATGCTATATGGGTAATACATGCTAGGTATGGAAGGACAAAAAGAGCAAAGAGTGAGAGGTGGCAAAGATAATAAGGATGTTTTGCAGTGTTATACAAGAAAGAAACAGATTTGGGATTATATACAGGAAAAGTTGGTGTGTGGCATCTATGGATGAGAAAATAATAGATAATCCTTTAAGGTGATTCGGACCAATAGAGGCATCAATAAGGAGGGTGGAGCAAATAACCTTTAGCCCAATGAAGAGATGTAAAGGTACGCCAAGAAGGACAACCAAGAAAGTTATGTATTGGTGCATGGTATATATTAAAGAGTTAGTTGTAAATAGAGGATGATAGTATTGTGAGATACATGTGACCGAGACCTTATTAGTGCATGGCATAAGGATTACTGTTGTTGTTATGCAGGTGTCCAATCAATTGTCATTTGCATTACAACTATGAAGTAGTAGGGAAACCATCCTACTAATTGTTTTATTTACATTTATTTGAACTTCGGATCAAATCACTACATACGTGGATAACAAACTCACACACAAAAATGTACATAACTTTGTCTCTCTCTAACAATTTATATTTGTCTCTTTTCATTAGCTACTGGAAGCATTATCTTTCAGAGCCTTAAGCTCCCATACAACTGCTCAAGGAGAGAAGATATTACTCAAGTAACCATACCCAATTGAATTGCCAAATGAATGCTTTAGAGAGGTACATTAAAACCTCTTCCCCCATTTATATTTGTCACCCTTATTGGTCACTATCAACAATTTTCTTTCAACGAATCTGAAGCTCCCATGGAACCGTCCATGGGAGAAGACACTGACCCAAGCAACCTATCCATGGGAGAAGACGCTGACCCAAGTAACCTAACCCAATGCATTGCCAAGGGTATGAAGTTCACCAAGTGATAAGGGAAATTTGAAGGCAATACTGAATCAAAATAAGCAAGGCCAAAATATCAACACTTTCAGTCCCGCTGGAATTACAACATAATTGCTATTGCTACATCTTAGCAAGAAAACATTATTAAAATAAATATTCTGTGTTCTTATTCTTTAAATGATTATTTTATTTTTCCTCTACTCTTAATAGTAAGCTAACATATAGTTTAACCTTTTCTCTGTTTATCCTAAAAGTAAACTAACACATGTGATTTATCCATCATATGGGCTCTATTCATTCTACAATCTAAACGG